ACAAAGCAATATGCGTTTTTTTGTCGCAAAAAACAAATTTTCATTTAAAGGACATTTAGCTGCTGTTGTCAGTAATAAGCTGCTTTTGCTCTTATGTGTCAAAGTGACGCTAGTTTGCAAAGTTCGAATAGCCCGATGCTATTGTTTAAAAACCACAACCACGCTCCGTTCACATTATCGTACAATTTACGCAATTATAAAATTCAAATTCCAAGTGCCAACTAAAAAAGTAGATATAAATCGAAAGTTATAATCAAATATAATTATAGCACAAATTATAGGTAGACAATTGTGGTATGCGCAATAAAGCAATAACACGTCTAGTAGGTCAACCGAGCCATATGCCGACTGGGCGGTCCAATATTGCGTGTCTTGGCGAGCACCAACTGCGTTACGGCTGTCATTGGTCACATATTTTGACACGCAGTCAGTCGGCTAGTTTAACAGTTCAACGGTTCAATGCTTTTTAGTTTCTTATTTCCATATTTTTTATTTCTATAGAGTGGTGTGCAACTACCAGCCGCCACGCATATAGTTCAACGCGCATTTTGACTTCATACAGCGCACGCGAAAGGGCGTACCGTTTAGAGGGCTAGTGGGCGTAGGTGCTGTCACAACTGGGAAAGCAAACATATGTAGCGCAATGTACAAGTGTTTGTAAGACTAAGCTAGGCGTGCCGCAAGAAACCGCAAACACACGCGCTACACACAAAATTATTAATAATAGTGGCAAAGTAACATTTTGGTGCCATTTTTTGTTTTTGTTGGTAGTGCGCGCGCGGGCGTACGTGTGAAGCGCCACAACTGACGCTGGGCGTAACACCAAGCGACACATTAACAACAAGAAACTCAAATTGCAACGCGAACCCTTCTTCCTGTGACGCCATACAAAGCTGTGCGGTCTTGCCGCACCGCGGGCGGTTTTTCCGTCTGTGACGCGTGAAAAATTATATAACCACTATCTAGTTGTACATCGTAGCGCGGCCTTACGTGTCAAAGTTCGTGCGCCTGGCATAGTGCGAGCTGAGCGCCGGCGAAACTACGGTGGCGCTCTGGCTTATGATTAACTAAACGCCTTAGTAGGTGGAACACAGTGCATATTTTTTACAACTTCTTGCGCGGTTCGCTTTGTACGCCTATGCGCCTTCCACAACGCCACAGGCGCAAAAGCAACGGGTGGTGGCGTCTTCGCTTGCGCGCATACACGCGGTCACGCGAATTCGCGAAGATCAAAAGCAACACCGGCAAATTGCCGCCAACACCGTCCCCATCGCCAACGCGATCAACGTTGTGCCGTCCAATACAGCGTGCCGCGGCATGCAACTACAAGCTGATGGCGCACATCAATAAATATTCTTTTGCTGTTGTTGCTGTACAGATCATACCGCAGTGCTAACGACGACAGTATCGCGCCTGTGCTTGCTATTTTATTTTTCATTTTATTGTGCTATTTAATCCATACAACAGCAACAACGTCATCGTCGATCAAACGAAACAACCCGCGTACCCCACACTTTGTACAGTTGACTAGCTTATGCAAATCCACCGCTAGCCAGACTAACCGGACCGGTACAAGCACACACATGCATACATAGTTTATTGCAGCATCGTCGGCATAGTTCAAAGCGTAAGGCGGAATTGGGCAAAAGACTGATTGGAAAACAAGTAGAAAGAAAATGCGTCGGCTTCGCGCGTTCGCTAGCGCGCCATTCGATGGTGGTCCGATGGGAACATGCGCGCATTGCCGGTGTGCAAGGCAAAGCGTCGTGGCGTGCGGACAAATATGAATCGTTATGATCAGCGCCACCGCCAATCGCCACTGTCGCAGCCCACTCAGGCGGCCGGTCGGCCAAATGAAGGCAAGCTATGCGATGCTGCATTGCGTCGTTTGCCACATTATGAATGGTGCGGCATGCGATAATTTCGATATTTTATTGACGCTTCACTTTGATAATCAATATCTTCTTATATATATAGCACTCATTCGCTGTGAAGTTTGTAAGCGCGTATAGTTAATTAAAGTATAAGTAATACTCTTGCTGCAAAATCAATGAGGAAGTACAAGTTGTTACAACTCGAACACTAACAAGCGACATTAGAAGTAATGACGTACGATATCAAATGAAGCGTGCGATAGCGCGATGATGCATTGAGGTGAGCAGCTGGTATTGCTTGTCAGATTAACGAGTGAAGTGGTGGAGAGTGCGATGACGCTTGATGGAGCTAAAAAGGCTGTGGAGTGACTATTTAAGTGATGATGTGTTTGATTGAAGAATACTAACTGTAAAACATAGAACGCACCGTTGGCATTATCACAGCAATAATTTCGAGAGCTTTAGTATAGCAAACAACATAAATTTCAAGTGGAAGTCAAAAGTAGTTAAGCGGAATGAAAAGCTTTTTGGACTTAAGGCATTAGAGGCCGAGTCCAGCACGCATGGCTTTGAATACAGATCATTCCGTAATGCATTGACACCGAATGAATAGCTTTATTTTTATATAAAGCTTTCGAAGCCCATTTTGTCCGAAAGCTTTCAGTTTTTTCTATATCCATTCCTATTGTCCAGAGATTACAGATTATATTGAGAATTATATTACCTAGAAAAGCTTCAAAAAGCTCTTAGAATTGTATTTTCGAAACTAGTACGAGCTCTGTTATGCTTTTTAAATAGACACTGAAGTATGTAGGTAGTAATATGGATATGGAAGGGCTCTCAGCTCCAGAAATAGCTCAATGTCAGTTTAATTAAAGCTCCAAGGACAGCTGAATTTGGAGGTTAAAAGAAGCTTTGAAGCTTTTGGTAGGCCGAAATTAAAGGTAGAGCTCAAAAGCAAACTGCGTAGTTTCCCTGCCTACTAGGAGGAAGTGAAGCATAAAAGTTGGGATAAAGCTCTTAGTTGGTATTTTTCAAAGCTATCGAGGCTATCTCATATATTCGCCCGTAATGGGTAATTTGGTCAAGTTCGATATTGTCGAATGAACTAATTAGTTAAGTTAGGTTAGTTCCGAAACTTTAAGCTCTTACTGTAATTCATTTTGTCAAGCAGAATCTGCCGGAGAAGTTCGAAACTTGTTAATTTATATAAAAAGCCTTAAGGAATTTGGCAAGCTGACTGCGGAAGGTTTGTACAAATAATAATTATTAAAAATTAGTTTAGAAAAGCTTTGTATTGAATTCATCATAGAATAACATTATGACAGCTGTTTTTAAAGCTCCAATAAGCTAAAAGGAGGAGAAGCGAGCAACAGAGTGAGAGTTTCACTTGCTAAAAGCAGGATTTTCCATTTCCTGAAACATCTGTGAAACGAATGAAGAATCAATTGGTGTAGGGAAATATCTCGTCGAGCTTAAAGAGGCAACAACCGAACCGATTATAGAAGAAAAACGTTCCAAAAGTTCAGAAAAATTTGAAACTTAAATCCAACAACATAACTCGTTTTGCTAAGTGTAAAACACTAAAAAAAATTCCACTTCGCAAGCCGCGCTCTAACTTCCGCTACCGTGCAAACAGCTTTGCAGCCAGTTTTCGTCCAACGTTGGTTAACAACAACAGCATAAATATCGCCAATCGACATGTAACGACAGTTATCACCAAATGAATGGTTACCGTCGCTATTAAAAACACTAAAACCGCATGCGGCATGTTGTGTGGCAAGCACAGCCAGTGGCGGTGCAATAGTAGACAAACGTTCTTTTTTTCTTTGTAAATCAATTTTTTGTTTTTGTATTTTTAGCAACACAATTGCTACTTTATGTTTGCTTAGCTCCTTATTGTTGTTGTTGTGTAGACATTTTAAACGCTCGCCAATAAATAAGCTGTCTGTGCAGCAACAACAAGGTATAGCTAAAGCGTAAGAGCATAAGCGACGCTTTGTTAGCGGTAAAATGTTTGAAGTTGCCGACAAAAATGGCGCCGTTCAAAGGCGGCGATTGATGAGCGGCAGCGCTTCGCTCAGAGATGGCGTTTGCCAGCAGAGAATTTAATAAAAAAGTATTGATATAAAGTTTGAATATTGGTGGTAAGAAAGTTTAAATTAAAAAATAGCTACAGTCACTTGCAATTTGTTTTACATAAATATTATAAGTATGTGTGGGTATATGAAAATTAATTATTAATGTAGAGATTTTTAAATGAGCCAATAAAAAATTCTCTCAATTTGAAATCGACGCCTTACATAACAAAAATTTGTTGGAAAAACTATGAAATTTTTGGAATTTTTTTGAAACTATTAAAAGTAATTTTTTTTTTGAAAATTATTTAAAATTTTGGAAATTTTTTTTTTATTTTTACTATTTATTTTGAAAAATTTTAACTTTTACTTTTTTTGATGTCGAAAATTTTTGAATAAAGTTTTGTTATAGTTTTTGGAAAATGTAAAATCTTTTTTTAGCCTTTAACTCTAAAATTTTTTTGTTAATTTTGAAATTATCTTTTTTGTTTAGATTCAGATTAAAAGCTTTTAAATTTTTTTTCTAGTTTTCGCAATTACTTATAGTTTTTTAAGTTAATTTAATATACTTTTTTGTTTAAAATTTGGAAATATTTTTTTTGTTTTTGAAAATTTTAATATTTATTTATGAGAAAAGTTTTTTTTTTCTAATTTTTTCCCAAAAAACTTTTTAATTAATTTTGTCTTAATTTTTTTAAATTTTTATTTATCTTCAAAGTCTCTTCCGCCGCCATGATACGCGACATAATGACACTCTATATGCCATTAATTAAACTCCACACTCATTATTCAGACCAAATGTGTCACAATCTAATTTCAATTAATTGCCTTTCATTTTTGTTTGTACTTCCATTTCATGCAGTAAATTTGAGATTGAGAGAATTTTTTATTTTTTTACCAAACTTGTTTTTGCGCTTGCGAACAGCAGTATGGCGGCCATTTTCTGTTTTCAACATCGAAAATAACGCGACTTTGGGGCATTTTATAAATTTTTTTTGTTTTTGTTTTTGTTTTGTCATGAAATTTTCGGTAAACAGAGAAGACGTACAGTACTTACAAATCCATGTTTATCACTAATATTGTTGGTCAATTTTAATTTGTGAAATGAGACGACCTTCTGCATCCACTGTTCGCCGGTGGTCGGCGAATCGGGATGGATGTACATGCGTTTTGGCATTTCCGGATCCGCTTTGCCGGCGATCATCCAGCGGCTGGAAAGAAAATAATAATATTTTATACATCAAAATTTTTTATTTTTAATAAAAATTATGATAATTAATATTTTAAGTGAAAATTTATTTTAAAGAAAATTTTATAATAGAAACTACAAAAATATAGATTTTTCAAAAACATTGCTGGAAAAAAACCAAAAAAGCACAATTACAAAAACAACAATTTTGTATTTTAATTTTCAAATTTTCGAATAGATTTTAGAAAAATATTTAAAGAAACATACAACAAATTTTAGTTTTAGCAGATATTCAATATTTTTCTAAGCCTAAATTAAAAATTGTTGAATATATGGAAAACAAAATTATTAAAAGTATTGAAAGTAAAATAATTTGACAACATTTATTTTTGAACTTTTTATAAAACAATATTTATATAAAAATTAATTTTTTCTGAAAAAATGTAAACTTTCTAAAAAAACTATAATTTCTTTATAAGAAGTTTGAACTTTTGGAAATGAAAATAAATTACTTTTTTTATTTAAGTTTTTTTTTAATCTAATTTATGTGAGTGTAAATTTCAATCATAATTTTGTCAAAATGGTAATAAAAATATAATAAAAAATTTTCAAACTAAAAATATTTTTTTTAAAAAAGTTTGCTTTTGGTATAAAATTAAAAATACTTTGTTTTTGCAAAAATGTAGAAAATATTTTATTTTATATACAAAAATTTAAACTTTACAAATTGAAAAAATATATTTTTTTTAATTTTAGCGATATTAATTTTTAAATTTTTCTTTACTATAGCTACAATTTTTTATACACTGATTCTGTTAAAAAAAATATACACAATAAAAAAATTTTTTTTTCAAAATATTGCAAAAAATCTAAAAGAATTTTAACTTCGTAAAATTTTTTAAACAATTTTGAATTTGTGAAAAAAATAACAAAAAATTTTGAATGTCTTTAACCAAATTTTTTTAGCAAACATATTTTAAATTTCAATAGTTATATATATTTATACCCCTTTAACCGGGTATATCAAGTTTGCCAACCAAAAGGAAATGTCGGAGACACTATAAAATATATACATAAATGATCAGCATGACGAGCTGAGTTGATTTAGCCATGTCCGTCTGTCTGTATATATACGAACTATATAATTTTGCACCTGTCCTTTCCTTAACTAACTAGCTGCTCATTTATCGGAAAGGCGGATATCGGACTACTATAGCATATAGCTGCCATACAAACTGAGCTATTGGAATCAAATTCTTGTTAGGAACTTTTGTATTTGTGAAGGGTGCTTCGATGCAACCGAAGTTACCGTTTTTTTTTGTTTTATGATTATTTCTAAATTTTTGGAAATTTTAAAACATAAAAAAAAATTTTTTTTAAATTTAACTTATTTTTTATTATATTTTTATTTTAAATAAACACCCACCTGTTGTGAAACTTGTAACGGTAATCGTCCGCCGCTACGATATCCAAGAGCAAAATATATTTCGCCTTGGCGTCCAGACCCGAAACACGAAATTTCATTTGAGGAAACATTTGCCTGGAAGAAAAAAAATTAAAAATATTAAAATTTTATCAATCATCTTAAAAATTTCGAAAATAGCAAAGTAATTACAAAGTTAACCTCAACCACAAAAGATGCGAGCTAACTGTGGTGAAAAATTCACAAAATTTTACAAGCACAAACTGAGCAATGAAGACATTCACTTTATGCATACAACAACAATAACAACAAATAGCGCATGCTGCATAATGTGACCAACAAAAACTCATTCAATTTCGGTTTATTTTTCCGCTCATCAAGTGGCGCCTCCGCTTGGCGCCACAAATACACACACACACACACAAGGTAGCATACCATTCGAATTTACAAATTTTCACCCAAGACGCCAACGACGTTTATGTCTCGCTTGCAGCAAACTAAATTGAAATTGGCTGCAGCGGTAACCGCAATAATACTAACAGCAACAACAACGGCAACAATGAGGCAAGTAAAAGTTGCCAAGTCGAAAATTGCCACCACATAAAGGCAATAATAACAACAACAAGCGCATTTTAGCTTGTTGCCACCAACGAGAGGCATGCCACACAGGTCTGCTGCTTCAAATAGAGCAACAACAAGTTGCAAGGTAGAGGTTGAACGGTTAGAGCGTTAGTATAGCTAGCCAGCGGTCATTATGTGGGCTGATCACACTAATGTTGCTGCTCACAGCTGCATGCTGCTGTCTGTGCGTGTGTGTGTGTGTGTGCGCTGTAGGCACTCGTCGTCCGAAAAACCAACAAACCATTAAATCCGAAAGCAAACATTTTTATTTGAGCTGCATGTTGCAAGTTCATCATAAACCTGACACACAAACCTTCAAAAGCGTGTTTGTTGCCTAAAAGCCCTATGTGGCTGCCTCTTCGTTGTGACTATGGACTGGCGCTTGCGCAAAGCCGCCCATTTACAACAAATATGAAAATTATAACTTTGGGCAGCAATCACTCAATCGTTCTGTGCAGCGGCAGCATGTAGGGCTGACAACAACAATAATGAGAGTGATATTAAGCGGCAGTGTTGTAAATACACTTAGAAAAATATATAAGAAAAATTAAAAAAAATTTGATTGAATTTTCGTGAATTTTTTGGAAAATATATTTTAAAAAATTTTTCTTTCAATAGTATATTTCATACAAATTTTAAAAATTAAAATTTTTTTAGCTAATAAATTTTCGTAATTTTTAGTGAGTTAAATTCATTTGATATTTTTATTTTGAAAATAGTTTTCTTACCGGTGAAAATTAAAAAAATGCTCCTTATAGAAAAAATGTTATTTAAAACTTTAAAAGAAAGCAAAAATCTTTTTTATTTATTTAAATAATTTATTATCATCAGTGGAGAGGTTTTTAGTAAGTTAAAAGTTTTTTTAAGTAAACATTTTAAATAAAAAATTTATTTTCAATTTTCTTTCAAATTCGAGAACAAACATTATAAAAGTGTAATATAACTTTTTCAATGAATAAAATGTATTTATTCGAAATTCGATATTATTGAAAAATGCCAAAAATTATATGTTTTTGGAAACCAAAGTTTCTAAAAAATATCCATTTTTTTTGCTCAGGTTACATTTTTTTTTAGTTTTTTCTAAGATATCCAAATATTTTTTTAGTCAAAATTTTAACTTAATTTTTTGATTTTTCAAAAATCCAAATTTCATTCTTAGCACCATATTTTCAAAATTCCTCCTAAACCGAAATTACTCTATTTTATTTAATTATAGATTCACTTCAACCAGTTGTATTGAATAACTTTGCAAACATAAATATTTCAAAACTGTGCCTTAAACACAACTGCGCCAAAAGTGAAAAGCAAAAACTGTTCACGGAAAAAAAAATTGAAAATTAAAAAAAATTTTTAAAAATCAAAAATTCTGCACCAAAAATCATAATTCAAGCTATTGAAAGCTAAAATTTATGTGGGCTGACATTATTTGTTTCTTATTATTAAATTTTCTTTTTTGCTGGACGCAAGTCGCCACAAATCATATGCAGTCACAAGCACAAAAAATCGAATAACAACAACAAATATGTATTGCTGAGCAACGGCAGCAGGCAGCAGCATCATTCACGGCCCAACAACTCATTCATAATCATCAGCCACATCACCCTCAGCAGCAACACAACAACAACCAGAGTCGAGCATTAACACACACACACATACAGTCAGAAGAGCGCGCATAAATCTGTGTCCCAGCGAACGTCAACTGGGCGGGCCATTTGCGACGCGCCGTAGCGCCAGTTAGCCGGCCAACGGTGCAACCTAGTTGCCGAGTAACTAACTACTCCTCCAAGTGATGCTGCTGCTGTTGCCGATGTTGATGATGGCGCGTTTGTTGGCTGCCATCAGTCGTGCATTGTGGTTGTTGTTGCGCTTCTTGCTTTTGTTGCCGTTGTCATCATTTGTGCTGCACGCGCAGTTAGTTCGTTAAATTTGATTCATGAGTCTGGCGCTCGATCGCAACCGCGCGCTTCTCTGCTGCCTGGCTGCTGCTGCGTTTGCTGTAGGTCCGTCTGTCTGTCTGTCTGTCTGTTGGTGTATCGTGTTGGCCAGTTAACTAGCTGCAGTCTGTCTTAGTTTTTTTGACCCTTTTTTTTGCTATGCTGTAGGCGCTTACTCGAAGTACTCGGTCTGCATCTTTATTTTCAGCGCTGCACAGGTTGGTTGGTGTTGATCTTCTGCTACACAGCGCGGAAAAAGTTGATTGTTTAACTTCATTTGGGTGCAAGATCACTTGCCATCGGAGGTATTTAGAGCGTAAAGTGGAATTTTGACAGCTAATGCGTTCACAAAAGTGCCGCTCGAACTTGCTTTTGGAAACCGAGGATCAGATATTTTTTTCCTTACAATGCGAGCTGAGCTTTGAGTTAAAATATTTTATTTTACAAGAAAATTTTTTGTTGATTCTGAAAATCAAAACTTGACACAAACACAATTTTTTTCAGCCTTGAGTTCATCAAATCATGAAATTGTGTTTAAATGAGGCTCTTAAAAGTGCAAAGTACTTAAAATTAGAATTGTTTCATTTAAACAGACCGGCGCTTAAATTCGATATGGCAAGATCACCACACGATCACTCTGTTTTAAACCCATTTATGGCTAACTCTTTGCAGACAGTCTTTAAAATTTGTTATGCTATTATTTTAGTAATCCATATACATTCTAATCTAAAGTACAACGATCAATGCGCGATCACTTAGAGAATCAAGTGATCTTGTGTTCAGCTTTTCGAGCAATTTGGTGCGATATAGGAACTTTTTTTGAAGAACACATCATGTAGTATTGATAGAACTAGAATAATGAAGTATAAAATATATTTGTGAAATTTAACGTGTCTAGCGATCGTGTTCAAAGACTTCTTTGTTGTTAAGTTACTTTAAAATTTTTTTTTTTTTTTTAATTTTAAGCAAAAAAATTACCGATCAGCTGACGGCTTTTACATATTTTATGTTGCAAATTTTAATGTGTAATATTATATTTTGTTACTATAAAAGCATACGATCAGTAAAAGTTCACTTAAAGGAATTGGTGATCTGGTATGCGAAGGTCAATTTTGTGAACTATTTCTTAAATCTGGATGGGCTGAGTTGTCATGTTGTCTCACAATAGTTATTAATAAAATTTACTTAAGCTGAGACAATCAAGAACACTAAATAATCAGTAGATACATAAAGTGTCAGATCGTCAGAAATGTGTTTTAGTTTAACTGCTACATATTTTGGTGGCACGATCGCTGATGCATGCAAATACATGTAAAAAAAAAAATATTTTAAAGCGTATACAAATTTTTTGTATTGGCTCCGAGTGACATAGGACATTCTGACATATTAAAAATGATTTTTGCAGGGATAAGCGTTGGCAAGATCACTGATCATTTTAAATTGAAAACAGTTATACGTGATTTAACACATGATTATGATCAAGTGATGCTCCTATAAACATTATGAGCTGGTGCAATATTGATTTCATGATAAAAGTTGTTTTTGTAGCAATATTCGATGGCACTATCACTGAACATTTTTTGTAAAAAATTATTTTAAAGTTTATAAAAATCTTTTGGAATGGTTTTGAGTGAATGCATGTACATTTTGGCTTTTTAAAAATGATTTTTTAAAGCAAAAGCAGTGGCACGATCACCGATCATTTCATATTATAAGCCGTTCTACTACATTTTAAACCAAGATTGCGCTCAAGTGATGTTCAAATGATCATTTTATGGTAAAAACAAGTATTTAAAACTGTATTTAAAACTGAAAAAAATTATATATTTGTTTCTAATTTTCATTTAAAAATAGCCTTTCTGACCTATCACGAACTTTTGCTGCCTACTTGTAATTTACTAATATATTGTGTTGCCACATTTTCATACGCAAACGGAATGCGCCAAAAAAAGTATGCCAACATGAGCGCAACACTTTTTATTGAAATACTTTTCATGACATGTCTTGTTGCTGTTGTTGTGCTTTGCAATTTTGACTCATACAAAATACGTGCAACACCAGTTTAGCGCGCCGAACAAGCAGAAGCTGCAAGCGCCGACAGCGAAATGCGCTGCAACATGGCAAGTGAGGAGCTAGGCTGCTAGCGCCGCCGCCAAAACAACAACGACAATAGCAGCAACAACAGCCGCAACACAAAAATGCCAATAAGGAGGCGCCTCCGAGTTGATGTTTTTGTGCGCTTATATATTTATTTTTTGAGTTTTAGGTTTTTATATTGATTTGCCGCCTAGCGTCACACGCACAAACACGCATATCTACCTGCGTGTGCGTCTTGTTGATGGCTTGTTAACAAGCTGCGAGTTTTGTTCTTTTTTGCGCCACATTGCTGTGTTGCCCTTGCGTGTTGCACATTTCAATTGTCCTGTGCGCGGGATCGGTTGCTACAAGTATTATATGTTGTTGTTGCTGCTTTTATTGTTGTGGCAGTCGGTTTGCAGACGTTAACAGTTTTATTGTCTTTTACTTTACTGTGCGTGTGCGTGTGTCTGCAATTTTTTTTCA